CCCTTGTTATCCATTCTCTGATCCCCATAAAATGAACAGCTAAGAATTTTCTCCTATTTTCAGTCGTTACTTAAATTCTTAAAGAAATTTTTTTTTACCATTCAATGCGTTTGAGTTTCAACCCATCAATGTTTGTAAACCAACCCCGGATCCATTTTTTCTGTAATTACTACAATGAAGGTTAAAATTTTGCGGTGTTCATTGCTCCCCAACAATTTCTTGGAAACGTTGTCGTCTTCGGCATCATCTTAATCATCATTGTCAATGGTGGCGCCGCGGGGTTTGGTATTGGAAGCTGGAGGGCGGGTATTGGATAAGGACGAGGAGAAGAATGCGGAGTCTTCCTCCGGGAAGAAGTCCAAGGCGGAGAAGTTTCCGATTTCTAGGTGGGAGTTTGGGGCGGCGTTAGGGGTGTTTATGGTATTTTCTACCGGATTGTTGTTTATTTACATCTCCATGCCCTCTGCCGAATATGGGATGCTCAAGTTGCCTCGTAACCTCGCAGACCTTCGCTTAATCAAGTAAGTTTTTATCCCCCCTACCGTTTCATTTGGAATTATCGGATTGCGTATTGTCAATTTTTGGAGGCTTAATATTTTATTAAGTATTGATTATTCTTGCTGAAATTGTGCTTCCTGTATTTTGAATTTCTAATAATTGTACACGGGTTGTAATGTTTAATGTTTTGTTAATTATACAAGCCATGGTAATCTGGTACTGGTACGTATCTTCACCAGGTCACCATGGATATACTCTTGTAGATAAGGTATTTTTAGTTGAATTAACGTGCTAGTTTTTTTAAGAAGAATGAAGCGATTGAATTAGTTTTATGGCTGTGGAGAGAGCTAGTAGATTTTCATAATTTCTTTGCGTTTTGGTTTGTTAATGGAACAGAAGTACATAATAAGAATTTGTGCAACTTCCAAGACCTTGCCACTCGGAAATTAGTTTTCTACTTCATAGCCACCAAGAAGTTGTTAGTCTCCTTTAATATAATGAAGTTATGGCTTTAGTGGTTAGCAAGGTATTGCAGGATGCAACTCTCTTTTGCCCTTGGTTGATAAACTTGGCTCTTCCAGAGCATTGAAAATTTCACCCATTTGGCTTTCAGGGATCAGACCATAAGGTGCCATGACGTTATATATCTTATAGTTGATTCTTATCATTTTCATCTCTAAATGGCTAAATCCAAGTTTATAGTCTATTAGATCGTCTATAAGCTAAATGCGACAATGGTTTTAGTTCTCTAATGACACTTAACGTTTAATAAATTCGATTGTAGCTGACATCTGTCCTTTGTTTCCTGCTCCAGAGATCATCTTGCTAAATATGCTCAAGTTTACCCAGCAAAGTTCATTCTAGGTTACTGCTCAACATACATATTCATGCAGACATTTATGATTCCTGGGACAATTTTCATGTCTTTACTAGCTGGGGCACTCTTTGGTGTTAAAGGCATTTTTTTGGTTGTCTTTAATGCAACAGCTGGTGCATCGTGCTGCTATTTTCTATCTAAACTTATTGGCAAGCCTATTGTTACTTGGTTATGGCCTGAGAGATTGAGATATTTCCAGGCTGAGGTACCTATTTTTATTCCAGTCTTCTTTTTCATTTTGTTATAATTTAAAACTGTCAGTTGCTACATTTGTAGATGGAAATCTTATCTTTAGCACTTCACCTGTTTCAGATAGCAAAGCGGAGAGAGAAATTGATTAATTACATGCTCTTTTTGAGAGTTACCCCAACATTACCAAATCTCTTTATCAATCTGGCATCACCTATTGTGGATATACCATTTCATATTTTCTTTCTGGCAACTGTTATTGGTCTTATTCCAGCGTCCTACATTACAGTTAGGGTAAGACTCTTACCTTTCACTCTCAAGTTCTTTAATCTTCTTTTTGGACATTGGTATTGCCGAAGGCGGAATTAGGGTCTAGCGTGTTCATCCCTACAATATTGTTCATATTGCCACTGCTTTTGTTTCAGGCTGGACTTGCTCTTGGAGATCTAAAATCAGTCAAAGATCTATATGATGTTAAGACCTTGGCATTGCTTTTCCTCATTGGGTCTCTTTTATTAGTTCCAACCCTTTTGAAGAGGAAACGCATATATGAATAGGATGTTGTGAGCTTCCACACATATTTATGGAGACGGAACACAAAATGATTTATCTTTTCACTGTACTTGCATTTTATAACCAGGCCCCCGAGGGTGCAGGACCATGTTTCTACGCTACTGCCGAGTGCTCAAAAAGGAATTTACTTTTGGTTGTGATTTGCAAGTTTGATCGATTACTCTACTATAGCTCAAAGGCAGCAACTCACTGTTATTTAAAATTTATGTATTTTGATTAGGTCACATCCTTGCCCGGGTTTTATCCAAAATCGCGTGACAGAAATCTTGGGTAGTGATGAGACATGTTATGTACCAAACAATTATGTAAATATAGCATTTGATTCAAATATCAGTATAGCATCATGGAGAAGTTAAAAGTGATATAACATGAGATCTCTTTAATGGTGATGTACCATATTGTGAAAGCTTATACCCCTTTGCTGTTGGAAAAATATGAGAACTTGCTTTAGTTCTGACTTTTATGTTGTTCTCTATATTAATTGTACTATGCTTGAATATGACTCCTAGTTTGCTTTTCATTGTGTGCTAGATTAATTTTTTCGGCTGGTTGCCTCATCCTTCAAGAATTGTCCATGTATTAATTATATTGTCGTATGATCTTTAATGCCCTGTTTCTTGATTTAAGGTTAAGCCAAGGATTGGTGGGGAGGTTTTAACTTTGTTCTTCGAATTAAGTAGAGGGGAGGGAAGGAATTGTCATCCTGAAAGCTAAAGCAATTAATGTAACAGGAGATATAAAAAAAATTTTCAAGAATATTGATGAAACTTTCTGTGTTCCCCTAGCCTTGTCTTGAAGAAATAACAAGGCGAGGCTATGTCATGTGCTACGCTGAATATTTATAGTCGAAAAGTTTAGTAGGTTCGATAAACATTTATACTTGTGCATTGTAGGATTGTCATTTCTATTGTTGGCTTCCGTCGACAATGATGGTTTTAATGCCGATCTGAGGTGGCCTTCTTGCTTTGAGGTCTTCTAGGTTTGCCTTTCAACCCTACAATGCACGATTCAGTCTTGTATTGGCTCGAATTGGTTCAAGCTGTGGTAAAACGGCAATCCCAATGTATTGTTATCCTAAGCTTGACTAGTGTGTCTGATGTGGCAATTTAACGACCATGTCAAGTTTGTGGGCTCGAATGATGCCAAGCGTACAGTTCTATAGGACTGGAAATAATAATTTGGAGGGGAAGGTGGCTTTGATGGTTGACTTAAGAAGAGGACAACATATCTGTTGGTAACATTTTAATGTTAGTTTGCTAATTTCATCGTCCAAATATTCATTTAAACTTGTACGAGGATTTAACACAAACTTACCAAAGGAAAATTGCCATGAAAGTATCTCAAGACTCAAGTATCCTTTATTCCAAAGTATAATTTCTGTGTGTAATTTTATCACAGTAATTTGTTTTAAGTAAATTCTTTCTTTTTCATTTAGTACAAATTTTGGTAAAAGAACATCCTCGTTTGTCAATAACACACGAATTCCCATATGCTGAAGATCATATGCAGAAGTAACTACTTCTATCAAAAACCTAAGTGATTATTGAAGTCAAAAATATTGCACCACTTGTTAATTTTCTGAACAAGACTGGAAGCAGGGGCGGACCTACATGAGGCCAGTGGGGGCTGCCGCCCCCAAGCAATTTTCAGATTTCCCGATTTTTCTTCAGATTTTCAGATTTTTAAAATTTTTTTTGTCTATGTTTTTTTAGATTTTCAGATTTTTTTTCAAGGTTTCTGGTTTCGCCTTCACTAAACTTCCTTCTTGGGTTCGCCCCTTACTCGAAGCCCATGTTTGGTACACAGTTTGGATGGGAGTGGACAGGTCAACAATAGACAAAATTTTAGCTTTTTCTTCTTCTTTAATGTTGTTCAATACGGTCCAATCAACCAGACCACAGAAAGGGTAAGAAGCTACACAGAAGATGGCCTCCATTTATTCCTTCCCTTTGTTTTTGCCTTCCAGTGCATCTGCCAAGTTAAAATTCCAGTTGCCTCTCATGGTTCTACCCCCAACCCCAGCATTTCCCTTCCTCATCATTGTAGCAAATTCTCCATAATCTATACGGCCATCCTGCAATGGTGAGTTAGATAACAATGTTAGCTTTAAGGTTTTCAAGCACTGAAATTACAGTCCGTCAATTACAGTTAAGAATACGTACATTGTCTATGTCGATTTCACTAATCATGTCCTCCAGATGAACATCCCCGAGGCCAAAATCTTTGCACGCCTGTTGAAGCTCATCAATGGTTATATAACCACTTCCATCCTTGTCGAAGAATGCGAATGCAGCGAGCAAAGTTTCCTCCCTTTCCATCTTACTCATATGTAAGGTTGCAGCAAGAAATTCACCATAGTCAATACTCCCGTTGTTGTCAATATCAGCCTGCAAGAAAACTCGCATCTGAATGTTGCATATGATCATTCGGGGAAAACTATGTACTAGAATAGATATACTAGGTATACCGCGTTCATAAGTGCAAAGATTTCTGATTCCATTAATTCAGAGCCGACTCTTTTCAGACCTTGTTTGAGTTCCTCGAACGTTATTGTCCCACTATTATCTGTATCAATCATTTTGAACAACTGTCTCAATCCACCGATTTCTTCTTCTGAAAGTCTTTCTGCTATGACCTGTATAAGGTAGTTTCTCGAAAAATGCATTATCAAAGACTGAACTGTATCAAGATCCTAAAAGTTTAGGTTCAAACTGAGCACTAGATGAGTATTTAACAGATCAAACCGCAACAACATTGGAAGTGAATTTAGATGTGGAGGGGAAGGGGGAGGTAGAGGAGGAGACAGGAGGGGAAGGTGAAGGAGGAGACGGGAAGAGGAGGGGAGGGGAGGAGAGGAGAGAGCAGGCGAGAGAGAGAGAGAGGGGGGGAGTGGGTGGAGGGTAAAAAATTAGGGTTAGGGTTTTTATATAATTAATGTAACAGGAGATATAAAAAATTTGTTCAAGAATATTGATGAAACTTTCTGTGTTCCCCTAGCCTTGTCTTGAAGAAATAACAAGGCGAGGTTATGTCATGTGCTACGCTGAATATTTATAGTCAAAAAGTTTAGTAGGTTCGATAAACATTTATACTTGTGCATTGTAGGATTGTCATTTCTATTGTTGGCTTCCGTCGACAATGATGGTTTTAATGCCGATCTGAGGTGGGCTTCTTGCTTTGAGGTCTTCTAGGTTTGCCTTTCAACCCTACAATGCACGATTCAGTCTTGTATTGGCTCGAATTGGCTCAAGCTGTGGTAAAACGGCAATCCCAATGTTATTGTTATCCTAAGCTTGACTAGTGTGCCTGATGTGGCAATTTAACGACCATGTCAAGTTTGTGGGCTCGAATGATGCCAAGCGTACAGATCTATAGGACTGGAAATAATAATTTGGAGGGGAAGGTGGCTTTGATGGTTGACTTAAGAACGAGGACAACATATCTGTTGGTAACATTTTAATGTTAGTTTGCTAATTTCATCGTCCAAATATTCATTTAAATTTGTACGAGGATTTAATACAAACTTACCAAAGGAAAATTGCCATGAAAGTATCTCAAGTATCCTTTATTCCAAAGTATAATTTCTGTGTGTAATTTTATCACAGTAAATTGGTTTAAGTAAATTCTTTCTTTTTCATTTAGTACAAATTTTGGTAACAGAACATCCTCCTTTGTCAATAACATACGAATTCCCATATGCTGAGGATCACATGCAAAAGTAACTACTTCTATCAAAAACCTAAGTGATTATTGAAGTGAAAAATATTGCACCACTTGTTAATTTTCCGAACAATACTGGAAGCCCATGTTTGGTACACAGTTTGGATGGGAGTGGACAGGTCAACAATAGACAAAATTTTGGCTTTTTCTTCTTCTTTAATGTTGTTCAATACGGTCCAATCAACCAGACCAAAGACAGAGTGTAAGAAGCTACACAGAAGATGGCCTCCATTTATTCCTTCCCTTTGTTTTTTCCTTCCAGTGCATCTGCCAAGTTAAAATTCAAGTTGCCTCTCATGGTTCCACCCCCAACCCCAGCATTTCCCTTCCTCATCATTGTAGCAAATTCTCCGGCCATCCTGCAATGGTAGAGTTAGATAACAATGTTAGCTTTAAGGTTTTCGAGCACTGAAATTACAGTCCGTCAATTACAGTTAAGAATACGTACATTGTCTATGTCGATTTCACTAATCATGTCCTCCCGATGAACATCCCCGAGGCCAAAATCTTTGCACGCCTGTTGAAGCTCATCAATGGTTATATAACCACTTCCATCCTTGTCGAAGAATGCGAATGCGAATGCGGTGAGCAAATTTTCCTCCCTTTCCATCTTACTCATATGTAAGGTTGCAGCAAGAAATTCACCATAGTCAATACTCCCGTTGTTGTCAATATCAGCTTGCAAGAAAACTCGCCATCTGAATGTTGCATATGATCATTCGGGGAAAACTATGTACTAGAATAGATATACTAGGTATACCGCGTTCATAAGAGCCAAGATTTCTGATTCCATTAATTCAGAGCCGACTCTTTTCAGACCTCGTTTGAGTTCCCCGAACGTTATTGTCCCACTATTATCTGTATCAATCATTTTGAACAACTGTCTCAATCCACCGATTTCTTCTTCTGAAAGTCTTTCTGCTATGACCTGTACAAGGTAGTTTCTCGAAAAATGCATTATCAAAGACTGAACTGTATCAAGATCCTAAAAGTTTAGGTTCAAACTGAGCACTAGATGAGTATTTAACAGATCAAACCGTTAAGTTTGCATCAGCAAGAATGAAGAATAATCATCAGACATATAATTCTGGAAATTGAATAACTTCGTCAACCAATACGATGTAAGTAAATTAGGAAAGACGTCAAATGGGAAAATACGTGCAATGCCATCTTTTTAAGTTTGTTCATGGCGCAGAACTGCTTTAGGCGTGAAAGAACTGCAGATCCCAAAGGTTTGTCCAGGGAACTGTATCGTCCACAATCCAAGGATGACCTATTATGAAAACCAATATTCCTTTGTTGGATAATACTTGATAAAACCAGAACGGACTTAGTTCACAAGAGAAGCAAAAGTATATTACTTACATAGGACTTCATAAGCAGATATTCGTCTTGTAGGATCTCTCTCAAGCATCTTCCCTATAAGATCTTTTGCACTTGCCGAAATGTTTGGCCATGGTTCAGATTCAAAATCTATTTTTCCTTTCAGAATCTGTCTGAAGATACCATTATCTGTCTCTACAAGTCGTAAATTTGAAAGAAGAAAAGAAATGAGCAAGGGAAAATTAAAAGATGAAACTAGTTGTTGGTTATATGAAAATGGTGAATTCGAAAGCTCACCTGCCCAAAATGGCGGAACCCCACATAATAATATGTAGAGGATAACGCCAGCGCTCCATACATCACTTTCATGGCCGTAATATTTATGCAACACTTCAGGCGCGACATAGTAGGGACTTCCAACTACATCAGAAAGATATTGTCCTGGCGAGAGGTGCGAGGAGGAATATTATTATCAAATTCTCCATCAGATTATCTCGCTGATTCTCATGTATAAATAAATTCAACAGACGTGTTTAATCGACATAGTTGAACTGAGAAGTGAACAAAATGGACCAAACAGAATCCAACAACATACCAGGTTTGAAGAAAACCGATAATCCAAAATCAGTAGCCTTAAGCTTTGCGTCCTCATCAGGAGTATCGAAAAGGAAATTTTCCGGCTTGAGATCCCTATGCATTACGCCAAGAGAATGACAAGCCTCGACCACCCCAACAATGGTTTTCATAAGCTGAGCCGCCTTTTTCTCGCTGTAATGCCCCTTCTGAACAATCCTATCGAAAAGCTCGCCACCTGCACATAATTCCATAACCAAATGAACAAACACATTGTCTTCATAAGTCCCTTTGATCCTCACAACATGAGGATGCTCCGACAAATGGTGCATTATTTGAATTTCCCTCCAAACATTGTCGTAATCCTCCCTGCACAAAAGCTTGCGTTTTGGATCGATTTGCATGCGTATTCAATGCCTGTGGCCTTCTCTGTGCAATGATAAGTCGTCCCAAATTGGCCTTGGCCTAATTTTCTCCCCAAATTGTAATGATCTCGGAGTCTCGGAGTTTGATAAGGAAGAACTGCTGATGCAATTTTTGAGGATGATCCTGATGAATGTTTCTTCATGAGTGGAGTTAGAAGGGATCTCTCTCTCTCTCTAAGCACTTTGTTCTCTCTCTATCTCCAAGTACTTTTTGTTTCTTGATTTCAAGTTCAGAAAATCTCTGTTCTGTTGTTGTTAGTCCATGAATTGGTAAGAAGTAACTAACAATTGATTTTTGTCATACAATTTGGCGGGTTGTTTGTTGTGGAGCTTGACTAAGTGCAATTTGCCTTATGGTTGTGGTAATTTCTCATAATTATATTGAATAAAGTTACCACTATTAGAGTTAGTGGAATCTTTTTACACTTGGGGTGGCAAGTGGCAACACATCAGATGGAAACGAGAGGGTCGTTGGGAAATCTTGGAGAGGCAGGACGGAAATTAAAATATTCTTATTTATCGTCTCATTTAGTTATTTATTTTTAAATACAAATTTAATTTAAAAACATAAGAATTAAACAAAATAAAAAGATTCAAAACGGATTTGAGATACTCGAGACAAATTATTTAAATAGTGAGAATCATCACATAGGTTCCAGACCCAAGTGGTGGTATCAAGTCTTTTAACTATTGTTCTTGAGATTTGGCCCATTCCTCAAAAGAAGTTTTTATGGGATCTCCATCCACCAAAATTTTTACTTCCAATTCCGGCAAATGAATAATCATTGTTGTGAGTTGTCAACATTTACGTGGTGGGGCAACCAAACTAGGACAGCAAATCTAAACTTATAATTGCAAGGTGGAATGAGGCATTTTGCCATCCCTTTTTTACACTTTTATTTTCAACACGATACTAATTTTTTTGGTGTATATTTTTATTTTAGTTAAAAGATAATGGTGATAACATCTTTGAAATAAAAATAAATAATTTTTAATAACGGAATGAAATTCAATTATAAGGGCATTTAGTTCAACTAGTAGAGTTTGAAAGAAGGCTTCTCTCTTTTTTCTTTTTTTCTTTTTTCCTTACTAGTGTACGCACGTGCATTGCACGTGCTGCAGTTTAATAGGGTATTTAATAGCGTTGAGTGATTTTAAGGTTTTTTTTACTATAAGGTAATGTTTGTACAATTATATGAATTGATTCTATTGTCAGTTAATCTCTCTTACAATGGAATGTTATAATATATGTATGTTATGACATTAGAAAAAGGATTGGAAATTTATGCAACTTATTCTCTGAAAAAGGGCACTCAAGACTACTTGTGTATATCAATGCTATCTACCTTCTGCTCATCGCAAGATGATATACTTATTTATCAGAAACTATATTGTAAAGAGTTGAATTCTTGCTTCAAGAAATGTAAAAGCATGGAAGAGATATTCTTCATACAAGTTCAGAGTGTGACAGACAAGTTAAATATATCTTTCTTAACTAATAATAATTAACAAACTAAAGAATAATTACTTCAACAAAATAGAAAAATTCTTCAAAAGAAAATATCATCTGAATAAGCTTCTTGAATTTGTTGAAATTTGTGCCTAAACTCACCAAGCTGTGTAGGTTTGTTAGTCCATTTATGTAGATGTCATTGATGCAGTAAATTGTCTTAAGAATAATCAAATTCTAATCAATACCACGCTGCAATCATACATAGATTTTTTTCACATATTTCCTAAATAGAAAACTACAACACAATAGATATCTTCCTGCTACACGAATGCACTCATTTTTAACTTTTAATAAATTTAAATCGGCGCAATGACTAAAATATCTCAACAACCCTTCAACAATTTAAGGTTAATAAAAAAAAAAATGCTATCTATCTCGATGTAAAAAAAGAAAATCCATGAAGATACGGTGTCTCCAAGAAGACATGGAGTCTCCATGTAAAAATATTTTTTTATTTAGTTAAAATAAAATACTCCTTTGACTAATTTAGCATTTATAAGGGTATAGAAACTATCACAATATATGCAACATCTTTGAATAAAGTTTCAAGCTAATCTGAACTTGAGAAAATTAGATTTTAGGTGTTTGAAAGGTAACTATTAACTTCATCAAATATTGCTGAATGGATGCACACCAAACAATAAACACAGTATAAATTGAGTAGCTTACTTCAACAATATTTACCAAAGGAGCTGAAACATATGAATTATCCTCAATTGGTGGTGCCTCCACTAAATGATTTCCCTTAAATGAAACAAAGCAAAGCGAAAAAAAAAAAAAATCTCCGTATGACATACCGAGGCGCCCTAGTCAAGGCATATACAAACATTGGATCAAATATCCTACGTGTTGTTGTGCTCTCCTTCCCCAGTTCAACCATTCTGTGGATGCATATTTCAGCCCATATTTTTGGTTCCTCAACTTCCTCGCTGAAATCAGAGGAAACATACAGGTCTGGAATTATATGCTAAGAAAAAAGCAATTTCTCTCATATAGATAAAGATTCAATGTCCAATAAGTTTGAAGATCTTATCAAAACCTGAGTGGATGAAACTAAATTGTACCTTACAAGTCACCAGGAAATATGAGGCCTCACGACTTTTCAAGGGCTTTGTAATCATTGGTAGTTTGACTTTCTTCCCCACAGAAGCATTCTTTGCTTGAATCTGTTGAAGTCGTACGTCCTTGGTAAGCCTTTTCTAAACATCGGAAGTAAAAGAAAATGAGACATTGTTAACCTTATGTGGCCATCAATTTATGAATAGGCCGCTTTTCTAAATATTAATTTTTCACATAATCATCATCATGAAAGCTAAAAAAGTTCACGTATGGTCACCTACAAGTAGCAGGAATAACTTTAACATTTGTGTCAAAATAAGTACTTATCTAAATTAGACTTTTAAACCATTTCAGCTTACAAAGAGCTAATAATTTATATAACAAACTGACATGCTCTTAAAAACTCAACCCAAGCTCAAAATCATAAGACCAAATGTATTCCAATATCAATCTTAATTAAATATATTGATTTGCAAGCAACGATAAAAAGTGTTCTTACCCAAGAAGTTCTTTGTGATATCCGCAAATTTAGCTTGAGCAAAAAAATCAATTATGGCCTATGGCCTTCACTCTCGTGTCAGCAATTACTGATAAATCCTTCATGAATTGCGAAAATGTAGGACTTCTCTTTGAAGCCTCAAAAAGGGTAAGCAGTTCAGATTCAATCTTGTCCAATACATTAGCTTTGTATGCCGCAATGTACAAAGCAAAAGTATAGTTTCCAAAAACACGAAAGATTGTTAAGGGAACCTAAAAATGGTATAGAGAAATGACATAATATCAAGATATTAATCAAGTGACATATTAAAAGTCTTAGTTCAAATTAATCCAATGCATAAATAAAGCTCATGCTAACTTTTCTAGGGCATATCATGTAAATCAAAATAATAGAAAGTATTCTTCAAATTAGAGGCACATGGCGAGAAAACAAAAATTACAACTTGAAGAACTACTTTCATTTAAGCAAGACAAATTTTACTTGTTCATTTACCATGGAATATCTACATTTGAAAAGTCAGAATAAAATTCAAAGTAGAAACTGAAAATCCCAAAATATATTACTATTAATATATCATAGGTCTCCAATGGAGTATTACTATTAATAGTGTGAGCCAAAAAAATATACCAAAATATATCAAACAAATATCTGAGTGACATAACGCATGAAACTCATTTACCTACTGCAATATAGTTTGTCACACTACATCACCTGTCACCTCCATTTCCTTCTCTTTTGTCAAATAGATTTTTCAGCATAATTTTAATTACACTTCACATTTATAATAAATAAAGAAAGAAAGGTCCAAAACAAGAGAAAAGCTTAAAGAAAAGTTACTACTTACTCACTCTATGGTTGGTTGCATTTTCACCAATCTGAAACATAAGAGCAACTGATGGGCATTTGTTATTCTCTCTGAAGGATATGGAAAAGTGGTAAGCATAATTCCAACTTGAGATTGCCTCGACGAGGTCTAGAACTGGTAACCAGAATTCGACGATTCTATAAAAAAAAGTCATGTGCATATTTTCATTTTTGGAAAAGTAGGAAATTATTCTCAGATGCAATATTGACGTAAAAACAGAAAGAAAATTCCAGTGCAACGCCTAATTGAAAGATAACAAAAACGATTGCTCTACCCCGGAAAAAAGCTTAAGCT